ATGAGTTCATGAATAAATAATATGGAAGAAAGAAGAATTCAGCTCTTTTGATCTTTTGAGTTATCTTCATTCAAAAATGGTAAAATCTTACGCTGGGAATATAATCGGACGGTGATTGAAATTAGTGGCTTAACCTGTCATAGATTACGGACGTGCACTTCTGTATTAGAATTATCGTAATTTCTATCAAAAACTGCTAGAAAATTTCTATTACCGAACTTATTCGCTACACACATTATGTAGTTAAAAGATAAGTTAGTTGTATTAAAATTATTGCAATTTCTATTATAGATCACTGTAAAAATTTCGCTGCAGAGCTTACTTGCTTGATTTTATCATCTCCAATGACATGAGTATATGTAGTTAAGGTTGAGTTAGTTGCATTGAAATTAGTATGTTCCCTAACGTGAGTTACTATAAAACATTTTGTTAAATAACTACTCCTATCCAAGCATGTGAAGGTTGAGTTAGCCTGCTATCGTGTTACTACTGTATGAAGGTTTTAAAACTCCTTACATAGTCCTTACATCCAACACGTAAAACTTTGTTATTGTTACACGAATGTGCAAAAATAGATACGTGGCGTTACAGACGAAAAATGCCACAATTACGTTTTTGAAAAACGTAACTTCGGTCATCAAACAGCGTAGAAATGTAAGTCCTTCGCTTCGCTCCGGACAATAACTTTTGATTTCATTCACAATAATCTTATTAATAACTACTTGTAGATTTTTATTTAAGAGGGGAGTGTCAAATCATGTCAAGAAAGACGCAGATGTAATACCTTGTTTGAACAAAAGGCCAATGGAGTATTTGTTGTTCGGTTGAAAAAATTGTTTATCGAAGTTGGACATTTAGAGATGAGCGGTGGATACGGTCATAAAGATTTCTCTTAGACAACCTGGGATGGTTGCTGTAAGTTGCCAATTGGTGACGCATACATGTTGGAAGAGGTTGGGGAACGATTTCATGGTGCTTCGTGTGAAGCATTCTTAAAACCAAGTGTCTTTTCTATTCATGCTTATGGTAGATGTTTAATTAGGCTTTCTTAAACCTTTTCTATAATTTTTACTTACTTTTTTTGCATTCGTAGATAATAGAATAGAACTATGGAGAATGCATATCCCATCTAGCGGTGTTTTACAATATGAACGAACATATAGGGCAATTGTTCCTATTTGCTTTGAAGAAGAACAAAGATGTACCTTTGATTTTGTTATTGTTTTATGGGATCTCAGGGTAATTTCTTTCTTTTGGCAATTAAATGTTGTCATATTTTACCAATAGCTTATTTTTTTAATTTGTAGTGTTAGTTACTAGAAGTTATGGAAATTATTTTCAAACTACTTGAAGAACATAATGATTCGGATTTTAATTGTCCAATCTTTCTCATGGTATTCTTCCATCGCACCCGTTTGTCCCACAAAAAGATAAACACAAAAAAGGTAATATAACTACCTATGCAAAAAGCGAGCCTGATACCTCTTTTATTCGGCCTGATAATGATAATCGCGAGTTCTAATTATTATGAAATAAATACATCATTGTAGTGATACAAGTCGATGCGGTTAGTCAACTTAAGCAAGCTGAGTTTTATAAAGCCGAGTATTAAAATAAACTATTAATAATCATTAAGGCAAAGAACACAACGTGAGTCGTCACCATTTTTCAATCAAGCTCCCACTCAGAGTACAACTCCACAAACGTCTCAGGTATACTTTGGTTTGAAAATTTATCTGTAGTTTTGTTAAAGTTGTTCTAATGATACCTAGTTCTGTAACTGAAACATTAATTTTATTGTTACGCATTCGGAGGTCATTCTTTAACCAATACCATACATGATTGGTGCATAATTATCACATGAAAATATCCTTTAAATAAAATCGACTTCGGTTAATAACCGAAGTTAATAATCGACTCAAGTCAAGTCAATTTTTAAGATCACTAGTTTATTGTATTAGTCACATGCCTAACACCAAGATAACTAGTAATATATTGGTAACAAGTTTTACATTTTAAATATCTCGGATGTTTTTTAGAACTAAAAAATTTATCAGAGACCAATATATATTCATTAGTCATGGTGCTGGTGCTCTGGGTCAGTCCATACACTTCTTCTAATTACTTATAAGAGATAAATATATATTATTAGTGAAAAAAAAGAAAGTTATACAAATTAGTTAAGCCTTTGAAATATAGAACTGCTGCTATCTGGAGATCAAATGGTAAAGAGTATAAGTGAATTTTAATTATTGTAGTTTATGTGACGATTTCTTCTACCTAGTTCCATCTTAACGGTACATAATTTTAAAGAAATTCTTTTCAGCTGATTTCAATAAAAAAAATGCTTAACTACAATGCTAAATATATTACTCTACATGATCCATTAGTATCTCTAACATACTAAATTTTTTTAATAATGAATGAATGCACACAATTGATCCAAGCTGATTAAGTCAGCCAACCGCTTAGCTTTTTAGTTTGCTCTTAATAATCAATACTGATATTAAAGTTGTTAAATAGAAATTATGTCCAGAAAAGTATTTTATCAATTATTTTACTGTTTTAATATAACTTTCAAATCTAGTATAGTTATTTGTTGTCGCGGCTGATGCTGAAATTTGTAACTATTTTTATATGAAATTTTAAACTATTTTTTGGGTCTTTTTTTTAAGGGTTAGGTTAGGGTTTAGGGCTAGATTTGATATTTAAAGAGTATAAGTGGATTTTAGCAGGGCTAAATCAAGCCCCAAATTTCAGCATCAACCGCGATATTTGTTAACCCTATTTAAACAGATTGTAACATTTTATATGATATAGCTTTCAATCACTAATTATTAGCTAACGAATATGCATATAAAAATTTAACGGCTTAACTGAGCCATAAAAATTTAATAGACTTTATCACTAGTACTGTCTTAGCGTAAATGACTTTTCACAAACTTAATATTCAAATTAGATCTAGAAATTTTTTTTAGCGTGTAGAGTAGTATTAAACTTTTCTATTTAATCGATAATCGTCAATTTATGCCGGTAATACAAAGCCAAAGAAATCATATGTACGTAACGTACGTATGCACGTTTGAATAGGTTTGGGATAACGAAATTAATTATTCTCATAGCATATAAATACAAAAGACTAATTCATCAATGAGGATATTAAAATTACCAAAATTTTCTAATGTGGGACAGCATAAAATATCCACTGCGCCAACTTTGATCAGGACACTATACTGTAAAGCATCCACTTTTATATATAAAACAAGCGCCAAATTTAATAAGGACAGTAGTATAAAACATCCAATTTTTATATAAACACGTCTTTAAGGTTAATTTATATCACATGATTAAGTGATAATTAATCTTGATTGGGTATGTGATATCTAGAAACCAATGCGCCAAAATAATTTTTATAAATTGAAAATAAAGAAAATCCTCTTTCAGAAATGTTGTTTAGGTTACAGACCATCAATTTGAAAGAACATTATTCGAATTTTTTGTAACTAACAATGCAGGCGACTTCGTCGTCCGCTTGCAGTTTTGAATCATCATTTGATTCAACATGTAATATGCTTAATTAATTATAGTCATATATTCGAATTGAATTATCAGAGTATTGGTTACCAATTGTGCATTTATAAATTTATCAACAAAATTTATTCCTGGTCGCTCTTTTCAATACAAATAGTATTATTAAAAATTAAATTGCATGTTAAAGTTAAATTGATTAAATACATAAATACTTTATTTATTGGAGGCACTCAATTTCTGAATTTGTATTTGAAATAATTTCATTATTACTAGTATTCTTGCACCAAATTAATAAATGAAAGAAATTTTTTTCGAGATTTAGTTTTAAGAATAACCAATTACGGGTTGGAATGCATTACGCTCTTGTCAGGATTATCAATTTTGTTCAAGATCACTAAAATAATAGCCAATTCGTTAAGTAAAAAATGAACTGACAATCTTGTTATAAACTTGGTTGGTTAGCATTGTTTATACCAGCCCAGCTTTAATGATCTCTGACTCGGAATTTCAGGATGGCCTGTATATGTGAAACATTTGCGATAATTTGATCTATACTAACCCTTTAGGCTGTTCTCAAATAGCACTTAGTATGATTTGTTAGTGATAACAAAATTCATATTTCAGCAAATTATCCAGGGTTGACTTAAATGATCTAGTGCGATGAGTGGTACTTTGCACCACCCATCTTATTTATTACTTTTGTAATCATATTAGAAGTCACTGTAAAGAATTCTATTACAGAACTTAGTATGCAGTTAAGTTAGCTTGTATTAGAATTATTGCGATTTCTATTATATTTTACTTTAAAAATTCAGTTATAGAACTTGTTTGCTAATGCAATGCACACAGTGGTTAAGGTTGAATTGGTTTGTATTGAAATTATCATGATTTCTATCAGGAATTACTGTAAAAAAAATTCTGTTACAGAACTTGCTATTTTGGTAACCACAGTATGTGGTTATATTGTAAATTACTATGATTTCTACCATGAGTTACTGTAAAAATTCTGTTACATCGGGAAAATTTTTTTAGTGCTGTTCTGCGCAGATTTGCAAAAAAATTAAATAATAAATTAAATAAAAATCTGTGCAAAACTTCAGACTCACCAGCTATACGTAGCTACAAAAATTAAATACAGTTCTGTGCAAATTTGCAAAATATAAAAAATTTTGCAGTTTTTTGCAAAAAATTCTGCAAAAATCTGCATTTTCGCAGATTTTGCAGATTTGCACTTATTTAAATTTCTCGATGTACAGAACTCTCTATTCCTGTGATTACGAGTTAGTTTCATTGGAATTACCATGATTTCTATGTAAGATTTAGTTTGTATTAGAATTATTGTTACGGAACCTATCCACCATTCCATAATATGTAACCAAGGTTGAATTCAGAATTATTATGATTGATTTGTTTGTAGTGGAATTATCGTAATTTCTATCAGATACAGAACTTGTTATTCTGATTGCCAACAGTACGGATTAAGATTAAGTTAATTGTATTAAAATTATCATATTACACAATATATGAGTTAGTTTGCAATAGAATTATCATAATTATTATCATGAGTGATTACTTATAAAACTTGCGCACAGTAATTCCCAGCTCTCATTAGAATTGTACTCCATCCCTTCCTCTCAAGTATCCTTTAACATGTTATGGTAAGATCGTTTTAGATGCGCCTGTATTAACCATGCATGTGTAATTTTTATTTTGATACATAGTATCATGAAAATCGTACAAAAATATTAAGTCTTCTGACGTGAATTTTGACTTTTATTTAGAAACCAAATTAATTTAAAAAATTATGCACCAAATTCTAAGAACTAAAACCTATAAAAAAAAAGATAAATGTGTATTCAAATATTATAATCATTATTTAGTGCGCTGAGCAATCACTATCTTTGCTGGCTTATTATATGCCAAGCGTGTCTGATCAACTGGGAGTTGGATTATACTGTAGTTGTTAGATGAAACCTAAGCCCCAGAATGACGAAACCCCTAACGAAAAACAAAACCTCAAATTCTGCTGACGAAAGACAAAACCCAAATTCAAAATGCGAAATCCTAGTGCTTCCGCTAAAAAAAACCCTGGGCTCCCTTTAAAAAAAAAAAAACTAGTCTGATGAAACTTTATGATAATAGTGAATCCATACATCTCTCACTAAAAAAATTACTACTGAAATTTTGAGCTATTAATAAAAATAATAAAATCATCTTTATAATTATAGATACTTAACCCGTTGATAAATCATTAATGAGGCTTTTTATTTATATTTAACAACATTAATACTGAAGATGTTTATTGACTTGTACGTATATTTAGGTTTTAAAAAGCCAATTACAAGAAATTATAAATAGCAAATAAGCCATTAGCATCTATGTTTAATGCCGAAGGCGTTTATTGGCTTGACCCGGCTTGTATATTTAGGTTTTGACAGAAATTTTATAATTGAAGATCTGAAAACAATGTATGTACGTACGTCTTATTAATTTTTATTATCTGTATATTAATAAAAAGTCTTTTATTGATTTAGCCAATAGGATATCGATATACAGAAATATGTAGAATAATCTTAGTTGTGCTAATTTACTTAATTGATAAATTACTTCTCAAGTTACTTATTAAAATTGATATAATTGTACTGTATGTTTTAAATTTTAGTCTTATATAGACATAAATGTTGAAGCCAGTGGCGCCCTTACTTACACTTGCTTCTGTTTCTCATCTTTTATTAGTTTCAGGTTCAGTTTCGTCAGTTTCATCACCTTTCGTCAGTTTCGTCACCTTTCGCCAGTTTCGTCACCTTTTGTCATTTCGTCATTTGAGATTTTAGTTGACGAAAGACGAAACTAGGTTTCGCATTTCGTCAGCGCGAAACCTCAAGGTTTCGTCTAACAACTATAGTTCTGGGGCGGGTACCCGGAACTTTTGACCCTTTCGGAGAACTACTCATAGCGTAAACTAAAATATATATATTGAAAATTTAATACCACATTGCATATTAAAAAGATTGATGTAAAATATTTACCAGAGATGAATACGTATATGAAATCACATCTCTTCATTCAGTGGAGCGAATAATTAAAGCAACTATAAACTACTGTATTTGTGAATAATCATGATCACGAGATGTTTCATTATTGCCGATTTAGTGTTTGTCATACACTATATGCAATAAATACTACATAGAAATACATGTAGGGTACAGTACTCTCCGAAAATTGTGAAATGAGCGTAAAGATTCTAGACCAACTTTCTCAAGATTTTACACAACTTCTTGAAAATGCGTATGATTATAATGTAGTTATTGAAGTTGGTGAACAACCAAATATCAAACTTTTCAAGGCACATTCATCAATCTTGTATCAACGCTCATTGTATTTTCGTCAAAAATTAACAAATGCCACTAAGAAAAATAATGTTATTGAGCTTAAAATACCAAATCATACGGTCAAAGTGTTTGATATTATTATTAGGTAAATTATTGGACCAATCTTATGTTGATTTAATTCTGTTGCAAGATAATAATTTTAATTTTTTTTTTATTGTTATTTGCGATACAATATAGATATATTTATAGTGGCATAGTTTCTTTGGAAAATTCTGAGGCCTCAACCATATTTGACATATTAATTGCTCTAAATGAATTTCACCTTGCAGAATTAATCGAACATATTCAGTCTTATCTCATTGATAATAATGCATCCTGGCTTCGTCTAAAATTTTCTCAAATTTATCAAATAAGTTTCGATAATGAAAACTTTAAAGCTTTACAAAAATTTTACAATGACATTCTTGTAAAACATCCAAATATGATTTTTAATTCTGATGATTTTGATACACTTCAAGAGAGTGCTTTGATTGCTCTTTTAAAGCGAGATGATTTGCAAATGGAAGAAAGTGAAATTTGGGATAAAGTTATTCTATGGGGGAAAACAATAACTCCTAATTTACCAACTGACCTCAAGGAATGGACTGATGAGAACTTTAACTCTTTGAAAACTACTCTTCAACACTGTCTACCTCATATTAGATATTTTCAAATTCCTAGTAAAGATATATTTAAAAAAATTAAGCCTTATAATAATATCCTTGAAAAGAACGTATGGGACGATATTCTGGCAAAACATTTAGATCCAGATACGCCAATTACTTCTCTGGTTTTACCCCCTCGTAAAAAAGAAACGGCACAACTTCCTCCTCGAAAAGCGTCTAATATTACACTATCTTCTTCTATAATCACATTGGAACATGTAGCAGAGATTTCATCATGGATTGATCGATGTTCAATAATTTATGATACAACAAAAATTCCATACGAATTTAAGCTTTTACTTAGAGGCAGTAGGGATGGGTTCACAGGAGAAGTATTTCATAAGCTATGCGATAATATACCTGGTACTGTGGTTGTTGTAAAGGTTAATGGTACGAACGAGATACTTGGTGGTTATAATCCTCTTATTTGGAAGGTTTCTAATCATAAAAATGGGTATGAATATGCAACAACAGCTGATAGCTTTATTTTCTCTTTAAAAAATGGAAGCATGAATCAAACTACTCTTAGTCGAGCAATAGATATGTTTGTGTATGGTAAAGGAAGCTTGAATCAATCTATTCTTAGTCGTACAAAAGATGAATCACGAGCAATTGTGTATAGAAAAATATTACAAGGACCAGGTTTTGGTGATGACTTTGTAGGAGCGTTTTATGAATCTATTCCTAAAAAATGGTATTGTGGAAATAGGAATTATGAAAAACCAATAAGAAACTTAGACAGTTGGTTTTTTATAGATGAGTATGAAGTATTTCAAATTTGTAGAATTTAATACATTCAATTAATAAAACCGATCTATATTATTTTTTGCCAGTGCATATTTTCACTGTTCATAGGCGTTGTTATTATCTAGGTTGGGAAAGAGACGGGCGTATGTGCACAGTTTAGCCCTAATGGTCAACGGGTGAGAAATATGTATAAAAAACATGTGTATGTTATTAATGAAGGGCTTCGTTGTTCTTCGCTTTATTAAGGTCTAAAGGGCATTCTTAAATACATGATTATAAATAATCATTTAAGCATTAACATTCATATTAATAGATCTTGAATGAATGCGATTTTATACTAACTACAACTCGAGATTACCTCCTACTCATCAACATATTAAACATAAAATATCGTTTAAACATCTTTATTATGTATGGCAAATAAAAATCATGCTGAAAAAATACTAGTCTAGTTACAGATAAATAAAAATGATGTTTAAAGCATATAACAGAAGAATTAAACAAATAAAATTTTTTCAAATCTTATACAAATTAAATTCTAAATAATGTTTTTGCTACTGCACTGTAAAATAAAAACTATGTTATTGAAATTCACCAATTAATATTACGATATTATACAATAATCTTTTATAAATTCTATATTTTTTGATTAGACCTTTTGAGGCGTAGAGTATTTCCATAGTATTAATGTATTGTACGCAAATTAATTATTAAAAGCATAATAATGGTATTTCTCATAGATTTATATCTATTCAATCGAATTAATAACCCTTGAAACGATCTATTCTTTGATAGGCCATAGTAACGCAATTATAAATATTCCAACTCCTTGATATCTTTAGACTTTGTGCACTATATGAATGCTGAATTAATTAAATACAGTACACATATGGGCGGAAATTTCCAGTTGGAGCGCTGTGATTAGGTGATAACAAAAGTGATAGTTAAACTGCATATAAAAACTCATGAGTACTTCTCATCAGTGATCCTGATTTTGTGATGCCGTGAACGAAGTCACGAGGCATCCATTTGTCACGAGATCAGGTCCCAGACCCGAAACATCGAATGCTCGATTTGTAAGTTTAGGGTATGAGGTAATTGGTTTCGATTTGATTAAGTGAGCGATGATTGTAAGTATGCGGTAAGTATGAGGTATTGTTCGATTGAGTTTGAGTTTAATTGATTAAGGGGTAACAATGGATAGTTTGTGAGTATAATGTATTGTTATGTGAGTGTCGATGTGTTTGATTGAGTAATGGTGAGTATGAGGTCATAGAAAATGTGTATTTAAGTAAGAAGGGTTAGGAAGTCGTTCTTCCTCTTTTGTCTTTGCTGCTAGCTCGACACAAGTCTAGCTTCGTCGATACCCGCCCGCCCTCCGCAAAGGGAAGGGGTTAGGGGTAAAAGGTAGTCGGTTTTTGGGAAAGTTTGATAGCCCGGGTAAACAGCCCGGATGTCAGGTAGTAGTTTGATAGTCCGACTGTGCAAATCGGATATCAAAAGGAGGAGAGAAATGAGTTTAAACCGGTATACGATACTAGGAAAGAGCTGTAGACCACGTGGGCAGCGAGGCGAGATCCCATTTAGTGTTTTTCATAGTTGAACAGGGATACCGGATGATCGAGTGACAAATGGGTTATTCTAGGATCACTACTCATAAATGGGATATAAAAACTCATAAGCAACTCATAAACAATTAATAAGAAATTTTACGATCACTGATCAAATCATCACTTTTAATCTCAGTAATCACGCCATATTTTATATTTTATTGGCCTGGAATCTATTTAATCTCATCGTTCAACCTATATAATCATAAAAATTTGAAATTTCCGCCCATATGATTAACTGAAATGTAAGGTTGGAAATTTAACTCTACATATTCGCGGCAAATTTATAAAATTCGATCATCAAATCCAAGTAATTGGATTCGGAATTTTAAATTTTAGAAACCAAATTAACATATCCTGAAAAAAATTTTTGGACCTCTGATCTGGATGGGCTATAAAACTATGTATTCTTACTTAATTTTACTAAATATTACACAAGATTTTTTGCATTAAGTAATAATAAGTGATGCTTACAGGTTCTATTTTTAGCAGCAAATATAATTTTTATTAGCGAAAATAAAACATGACTAAAACAGTTTTTTAAATCAATTTGCCGTATGATTCATCATACGTATATACGTAATAAGTAATAGTAATGTAATTATTACATAATATTTGATAAAGGATAAATCATAAGTAATTATTACTTAATAAATCACTTTGCTCATCCCTACTCTGATCTAGATTGATAACGCGTCTGACCAACTTCAATACTTTGCCGCATCTCATTAGGCATAAAAATTTATTAAAATGACAATCATAACTTGGGAATATTGATTATCTTAGCCAAACTTATTTTTTAAATATTTTTTTAGAACCCTTTTTCAACGGACACGTAGTTAAATTTTTCAAAATTTAGAGTATTTCATAAATTCGCTTCAATGTAGTGATTAAAATATTTGAATAAAAAATACTACCAGGGATGAATTGATAAATCGTGTCTTACTATTCAATAGAGTGAATAATTAAGTTGGGTTATAAATTATTTGTGATTAATCAGTTAACAAAAGCCACATCTGATATTATTAGAAATGCAAGTTAAACAAGTGGTGACTAATAGGGAGGTGACTGATATCAAGCCATAATACCCGAACTAACAAATATCTAAACCAAAACTATAATCTAACAAGACCATGAGGCGCATATAAACCATCTTCTAATTCTTAATTATACCCATGTCTTTTATGTGAAATATGTCAATTTGGTACTAAGATGCCCTCTATATTCTCTCTTCCTTTCCAGTTGTACTGCACAATAGTTTATTGTAAATCATCAATCACGGTCCTTTCTTATATTTTAATGATTACCAATACTTTTTACTTCTTCTATAAACGAGTAAAGGTACTTGATGAAAAAATTTGAATGATTTTATGATTAAAGGTAGAACGATAAAATAATCTAATTCTGGTCAATTTTACAGATCTTTTGGCCTGGAAAATCTCGGGCTGAATGATCTGCAATTTAATCAAAATTAGATTATTTTAACAAAGATCGACATGTAATATGAGTTTCACGGGAATTTTTAAAAAATCATCAAAAAAATCTATTACGGAACTTTCTTCAGGTAATCCGTATGTGTTGTTAGTTTGCATCGGAATTATCGTACTCGACTCCTTACCATAAGCTACAGTAAAACTCACTTCTATTCCAGTGACAATAGTTTGTAGTTGGAATTAGTTTGTATTGGTATTGGAACTATCGTAATTCCTATCGTAAGAAATGTTACTTATCACCTTAATTATAATACATGGTTAGAAATGCATTTGAACTATCGTGATTTTCATCATGAGTTGCTATAGATTTTGTTAAAGAATTCGCTATTCCAGTTAAACATAGTGTCACGTTAGAAAATTGTTATTTGATAGGTTACTAGCTGCCGCAGTCATGTATGCCCATAAATGGGGATCGCTAAAGCCTTGTACCTTCGTAATTTTTAAGTTTTAATTGTAATTAGGGTTAGCGTTATGGTAAGAGTAGTTTTATAGGTAAAATTGCCTCCCCGACATTTTTTATTAATACAACAAGACATGTTCAGACTGCCAATTTTCATATTTTTGCGTTTTTTGACTTTTTGACTTCTTCGGGTTGATCTGTGTAAACAAATTTCATGATTTTGATTGGTTGATCTATATATAAAAAGTTTGGCTATAGCGGACCCATAAATGTGCATGATCTGCATAACAAGGTAAAGGTAAATGAAACATGTATCACATTATTTTAAAGAACCATACAATCACATTTTAATGGTTCGCCCTGATGTAAAAGATTAATTAAATAACTGTTATTTAAAATTAGAAGCACCAATGAAAGGTTTAGTTTAGAATGGTACTTTTCTCAAAACATGTATTTAAGGCCCTTACTTTCACCTTACTTTTAGACTTAAATTTCGCTCTCACTTAATTATCTCAATAAAGATACTATTATGACTACTTGTATTCTCATATACACTTAGTTGTTGCCTCTTTTGATAAAGCCTTAATAAAATCCTCTTTGTTAAATTGTATATTCAATGCTATATTTAGAGGTTGGACTCATTGAATAATTATTTGAATATTCAATGAATATTTGAATGTTCGAATTTATAATCATTTCATCAAATCGATATTCGAATATATTAATTATTACCAAATATATTCAATGAATATTTGATAATACACATTAGAAAAATTAAAACAGGTTATCAATTTTGAAAAGTTAACAATATACAATTTTAGCTTAACTAAATATATTTATTATAAATTAATAACTATTTGCTAATAATCAATCATATTGGTAGATATAAAAAATGCTATAACCTTTATTAAATTATTAAAAATAAACCAAATAGTAAAAATTATAAAGCAAATTATTATTTAACAGAAAAAATCGACTTCATATACTCTTAAATCACTTGTATAATTAGTATATTAATATCAATTAACATATATAATAAAATTATCATGCTCTTCATATATAGCTCAACTGAATATCAGATTTATCCTAATCTACTAAATTTTAATTTTGTATAATATCACCATACCTTACATAATAAAAAATATAAAGGCTTTATTAAAAACAAAAAAGCAAAAGTCAATCTTGTCTGGTAAAAATGATCAACCCATTCTTTGATACCGTGATTCGAATAGAACATGTGGTACATGATTTTGTCCTTGTGCCTCTCTTACTCAAAATTACTAACCAAATTAGTCAAGTAATAGAATTCATTATCACATTAAAAATTTTGAACACAAAGAAATTAATGACAAATCAGGGTAAGCTACATTAAAGGCTATGCAGTCTAATATAAAAATTCAAAGTATATTCTAAGAAGCCTTTGAATTCATGTGAAAAGAAATTGAATTTTTATGTTCAATTACACAGCCTTTAATATAGCTTATCCCAATTTGTTGTTATTAATTTATTCACATTTATAATTTTCAATGCAATACTTTATATTTCATTTTTATTTGAATTTACTCTTACTAATTTTCTTTAAAATATGTTCAAGCTTTCAAATTC